ACGTAGCTCAGCAGCTGGGTCATACTTTAGGCCTCCTATGATTGCTCCAATTAGTGCAGTTTCGGGATAGCCCCATACTCGACAAGCTAAACGCTCAAATTCTTTTAAATAATCACGTAAGCTACCTGTCTGCCTTATTCGCATGAGAGCCTCGTCGTAGTTGTGGCAGTCAGACGTGCCGAAGCGCGTGATAACTCTCGCTCGAAATTGCCCCAGGTGATGACTCGTTTTCGGTTGCGGTAAACGCTTGTGAGCCACTGCCACCAGACGTTGGCTTCGCCATCAAGATAATAAGCTGCATACCTTACTCGATCATGGACCTCGGTTTCTCTGAGCTCGAAGTATTGAACGGCTGGGTTGAGCCAAGCCTCCGGATCATTGCCGTTGAAGGTGGATAGCATGAGTCGCGGCTTGTCGGGCTTCGGCCGGTCGTGAAAGTTGGATGCCTGTGACCGCCGGTCGAAGTCGTCCTCCTCCCGCTCTTGCTCCTCGCGCTGCTGCTCCTCCCCCTCGGCCCGCTCGCGGTCGTTGCGTCGCTCGTGCTGGCCGCGGTTGTGCTGCCGTGGGGCCAGTTGAACCATGATGCTGCGCGCCATCTCGTCAAAGCGCTGGTTTATGATTTCCATCAATTCTTGGACCGTGGCCTTGGTGGTGTCGAGCCCCTCGCTCATGGTGCGTACTTGAGCATCGAGATTATCGATCTTGTCCTTCATCTCCTTGTTGGCCATGGCCTTCTTCTCTTGCTTTCGCTCCTTGCTTCTAGGACTCGTGTTGAAGTTTTTTTTTTGTTTTTTTTGGTATAGGCGTACGAAAATACGAGAAAGAAAGAAAATGAATGGGTTGGGAAGAAAGACACACGATCTAACACCTCTCAATGAAAGCACCAATGATGAAGATCGCGTGTCCCAACTATCGATAAGCCACAAACCAGTGCCTTGAATCGCCGATAGTTGCCTAGAGGTTCACAAACCGCACCCCTCTAAACGAATAAAATTGCAATAGAATTTTGGTGAAAAACCAGTGCCGTGGCGCGCGCGTATCTCATCGCTGCCTGCGTCCTTCGCGCCTGCGCTTGCTATGCCCGTCGCCCACGTGCCCCGCACGCCCTTGCCAGTGGTTGCTTGTTCGCCTGCCTCGCGCGTCTGTCGTGCACGAGCGTCTTCGCCTGTTAGCTGGCTATTTTCGCGTGCCTCCCGCGTATTCCCGTCGAGGGCTTGCACCTCGCCCGTGGTCCGCGCCAACCTTTTGCGTGCATGATAGGCGCGACTTGCGGTGTTCTTGAGCTGCCTAGCCACTTCCGCATCATACTGGGCACGCACGCGCTGACTGGCACCTGCGTGACCACTGTCGGGTTGATGAAGATTGCGTGTCTCGATTGCCGATAAGCCGCTTGCCCGCGCCTTGAATCGCCGATAGGTGCTTCTCGAGCCACAACCGCGCCTCTTAGAACGAATAAAATTGCAATAGAATTTTGGTGAAAAACTAAAGCAAAGTTTTTGAACAAAAGTTCGGGATTTTCTACTAACTAAGACTATTCAAAGATTCAATTCATCATAAAAAATAACAAGAGCAAGGGCCTTTATATAGGCATCAAATAAATCTAGTCCTAATCTAACTATATCTCGAATAAAACAA